GCTTGAGGTTTAATTTTAATGTTTTTGTTTCTGACTATGTCTAGTTTGTCGTTTATTTCCCGTATTTTTTACTTCGTTAATTTGTTTTATTTCAAACTTTTTCAGGAATTCAGCTTAAATTATTTTTTCAGATCAAATAATTTTATCTGCCTGCATTTCTAATTTTTTATTGCAATATTCTTTTATTTCATATTTAAAATACGAGTTTTTTTTTTCCTGAATAAGAAAAACGAAGCAAATTCTTTCAATAAATAAATATAGTTGATGCGGTGCTTTAAAATTATTTACCTCACATTAAAATTAACTTTATATTTGCATATGATGTGACTTGTAACTGGTGTACTTATAAATGGTGTCAGTGTGAATGACAAAGCTCGTGAAATACTAAGCTAATTTAAAATTTAGTTTTCTTAAGCATCTGGTAACCTTTTTTCATTTATTCAATGAATAGTAGACTGTTGTTTAATGCATATATATACCTGCACGTATATGCTTGTATTTTCGCCTTCAAGAACACGTAAGAGAAACCGAATTATTTTTATCTTGGGATATTCTTAATAATAGAGTCTTACGTAAAATATTGTGGGGATTACTATTCGGTCACTGGAAGTATGCTCTGTCGACATATAACGGAGGGATAGCCAAACTGGTCCCTACTGCTCACTAGTGGGCGATTTGGGCTCTCACGGTGGGCGGTGAAGCTTTTTGTCTGACAATGATCAAGGAAGATCGAAACAGGCATGGATGTATCAAAACAGGCATGGCATATATATATGCCCCACATTTTTTTAAGTTAGCATGGGAAGGCATTACCAGCTGGCCCATGGCACATCACTGGTTCCTCCCATACTTTTACCTGTACTTGTGTACCCTACTTGGCGATTACCTTTCGAATAATGCTCTCCTATTCCCATACATTTATACGGCTTTGTTGTTTCTTAATGAATTTTCTATCTATTAAAAAATTAATATTGTAAATTAATAGTATAAATAAATGTATATAATATAATAGTATAAATAAATGCATAGATTTAACTATATATTTTTTACTAAACCTCCCATAAAAACATCTTCTCAATTGCGCTATATTGAGCGGGTGGGCGGTGTAGAAATCTTACTGCCTACAAAGTTGGCAGTAAGTATAAAATATAGTAAGTATAAAATAGGTTGACTACCTCTGTATTAACAGAACAGTGTGAATGCCTGATGCAAAAAGGTACTTCCAAGGAAATTCAGAACTTTGTTTTTGCCTGTCGTTTTCATTAGTTTCAATATTATTTTAACAGTTACGAGCTTTGGTTTGTCCTTTCGTTTAATTTCAACCATTTGAAAATAAGGTTAAATAAATAGCAAAATGAAACATAAAAATTTCCTGCCTCACTACCAATATTATAGTTGGTAAATGCACCAATCCAAATAATTGTGACTGAACCTCTAAGGCAATGATACGAACTACTACCCAGAAGCATCAAATGGAGTGAAAAATTCCCTCAAATAACCATACATGATCCTCTCTGAAAGCGGTAAGCATTTTTCTGAATATAATAAACAGTGACAGTGAAATCATATCTGTAAGCCAGCCGCTTCCACGGAAAATCAACATCATCTTAAATTGTGCCACCTTCCAGCAGCCGAGCGATAAAGTCTCTGAACATTGATGATTTTCGTGGTTTTGCCCACGTGTAGTGCATATACAAGCCATTGTCCTTAGAACGTCCTCCACGAAGGCATCTCTTCTCTTAGGTAGACAGCATTCGAGTGCTATAATCAAATAAAAAAATCTGATGTGTACACCACATGACTTCCTTGTACGAATTTAAAATTAATACGCATTTTTTTACAATTTCCTTTAAACTTATGGTTGAATTAAATTCTACTTGCCGACAGCGCATAAAAACAATAGAATAAATCATTCTTTAAAATTCAGTCTATTTGTTTACCATAGCGACACTCTGGCGCTAGGTTCACTTAACAGTATTTGTACTTCATTCATATTATAACTCATAATGCACAAATTTATATCATTTAAAAAATTATCTAATCGTTGCCACATTTATCAAACTTATAATAAAGCTAGAACGATGTATAAAAAAGAAATCAAGTCAACCAAAATAAAAGAAACAGTGTTAACAGACGATGAGTATTTCCGCATTCAATTAATTCTTCTTCTCAATTCGTGACAAGGCAAAAATACATAACACTCAAATATCTGTATAAAAAATTACGAATAAAATAATTAAACCTTATTGCCCCTTCCGAAAAAATTTCCATAAAGATTAAGCGGATTTAATTCTTCAATATAAGTGAAGGCGTTTTGTCTTTGTGTTGCGAAAGCTAAGGTTATCTTTATTGGCAACAAATACACTATTCTGCTGTTTCAATGTAAACACGCAATGGCCGCCATCAAAAATTTATTAGCCAGTCCCATTTAACAACGTTAAAATGTTTGATAATTCTAAAAATCTGGCCACAGATTTACTTAACTAACGGCAAGAAAAACCTTAAACCGGAAATAAGACAACAAATTCAATCATTTTAAAGCAAAAAATGTACAATTTACAAACATATAAGTGTAAGAAACTGAGAATCACTGAAGCCGGGTAACAGAGTGGATATCTTTATAAATATATTTTATATACGTTTGGCGCGGCCGATTGCAAAACCAAAAGACGAGGTGCAATCTACAATGTTATAGTAGTCCTATAGACAAAATTTCAACGTTCTGATGCTACTCGTTTTTTGAGTTAGCGAGATACGTACGTACGTACGTACATACGTTCGTACAGACGCCCACGAAAATTCTCTTCATAATTCATTTTAAAGCAGTTTAGAAGTTTTTTTGGATGAAAGGAGTTTTTTATTCTGTCCGCTTATGTACAGATGTCACGCAAATCACCCTCGTGAAATTGCTTCGATAGCGGTCAAAATGATATTTTTCGTTGAAATAGTATGCTGCCTGAAACCTTTCGCGATTACAATACTTCCTTTTTACTTCATACAAGGAAGTAAAAAACCGCATTTAAAATGTGGCTCGTCATCTTAGCGAGGTTTCGTTGCATTTTACTCTCTTCTCATGTGATGATTTCCTTCGCGATATTTTTAAGTTAGGTTTAAAATCCGTCGTCATTGCTAATTTGTAGTAAACCGTATACTATATCTGCCATAAACTGTATAATATATTTGCCTTCACTCTGAAGAAAAGAAAGAATACTTAATTTCATATCTACATTTTTCAGGTGAAATTACAGATTAAAGAACCTTTACTCACTTTTGCAAATTTCAGAGCTTTCACATTATTTAAAGTGAATAAACAACTAACCAGTACTATAGTTGTTTGTTTTTCGAGCTTTTATTAATTTTTATCTGCTTTACAGTTAACAAACGTTTGTTTAATTTGAACGTAAGACAGTTTATTGCTGCGATTAGAATTTGTTTTTGACTGAACACACATTTTATCCTTAAAAAGAAAGTGTATGATTTTATTACTGATATACTTTTACTCAGTAAACAGGAAAAGGCTCAATACTCAACGCTCTATTATGTTTATCTATTGGGATTACAGGTAGAAATGCCTAAACGTATTCATATTTTGTATGTCAAATTTAAGGAAAGAACGATTAACTAAATAAACAAATAATATGAATAAATACGCAATTTAATAAGTTTTCAAACTAATTTTTAGCATTTTTACAAGTACAGTTTCATGATATCTAGCCGAAGTGCAGATGTAAAGTACATCTCGCATATTAGTTGGATTTGAAAATCTCACTAAAAGAGTTTGATTTCGTGTTGAAACGTTTCATACATGAGTTTGATAAAAAAAAAAAAGAGAGAAAAATTATTTTATACTTTATTAAACAATTATTATTTTTTTTTTGCTTTTAATACAAATGTTTTCAGCATAAAAATACAAATTTAAATTGCATAAAGTAAATTTCTTTCAAGCTTTACAAAACAGGGCATATTATTTTGTTGCTGAAAAATTTATTTCTTGAATGTGTAATACCATTCATTTTTTAATAGAAACTTTATTTAAAATAAAGTAATGTAGAAAAGTTTTTCTCTTAATACTGAATTCACAAAATAGTTCTCTTTAATGAAATACTGTGTATTGTATTAGTCACTATAAACATAAAGAAGAGATGCTTCTATATGCACTTGAATAATGCATCACTTTATGTCCTGCATATAAAATTCCACAGAACACAGTTATTCATATTAGTTTCGTTTGATATAAAACAATTTCTGTTTCACGTAGTGAATAATTACTGCACTGTTCATACATAACAGAGAATCAATCCACTGCTATCTAATTTTAACAATGGATATTTTAAGTAACATTAATAAATGATACTTACATATATTGAAATCATAATGTATACGTAAGTTTATAATGCTAAGAGTTTTATTTAGTCTTTGTGACATCCAATGTACATTTAGTTATAATTCATTAAGCTGCAAAATAATACGATATTTTAATAAAAAGAATATTTGCAAATACATGTTTTACTATTTCAGCCCATGTTCTTACATTAGCAGGTAACATCTTGCAATATTATAAAATTAACATACATTCTACTCCTTGATTTAAAACTTACCACTTGCCGATTTTCGAGTACTAGGACAAAACAATTCCAGATAAGCTCTTCTGTATTCCTTACTAATGACTACATATATAATCGGATTGACAATATTTGAAAAATACACACCTAAATAACCTATAACGTTCAAGAAAGGCAAATCATCTTCTTTTTTGAATATTTTAACAAACGAGACTGGAAAGTAACACAAAACCAATGTAATGAATATCACCAGCATCACTTTAAGCACTCTCAACTCCTTTTTGTCTCTCTTCCAAGAAGAATTTCTTTTTGCCATTTCAGAATGCCTATGAATTTTCCGAATGAAAATTTTTTTAGATGAGAAAGTCACCGTGTCTTCCGATATCATGTCTCTGGGAAAAAACGAGTGCTGTCGCGGAATTTGTTTAGAACGCTGTTAAGAACAACCCAATCATTCTTGCATTAACCATATACAAATACCAGGGAAGGCAGACCAAAGGCTGTAATATAAAGAAACATTTTGGGAGATCTGCCATTCAGCTTCAAAATGCTGCATGTTCCAACCTTCGGGTCAAAGCCGAACCGACCCCATACTTCTATAAGAGGAAATAATAATAATACCAAAGCTGAAATCCAAATGAGCGATATCATGATGGCAATATTTCTGGCTTTGTACATGTCCCTGTAGAGATTAGGATGGACGACTAAAATATATCTGTTCACGGTGATTGCAATTACGCTAAAAAGAGACACAGCTCCATTGGAATATCTCACTAGTGGAAAAAGTTTGCAAAGTACGTCTCCATAGTTCCAGTCCCGCTCTAAAAACGTTAGTGCGGTCAAAGGCATAGAAAAGCTGCAAAATAAAAAATCAGCCACGCAAAGATTTAAAATGAAAGCTGTTGTTGCATTTCGCAATCTCTTACATTTCGATAATGCTACGATGGATATGAAGTTGCCTGTAACTCCAATGATAGCAAAGGCAATGAAGCAAGCAGCAGCAAAGTCCATTAGCTGTGATGGGTACTGAACAAAAACTGTGTTGTTACCATGAGTGGCGAATTGTTGGATCTCATCTTTAGTCTCATTGGAACTATTTTTATTAACGATAAAAGACCACATTGTTTGGTTGTTGGCAAATTTTCTCTCCGATGACGTACTGGTGGTAAACATTATTTTACTGTAAAGAAAAAATAACAGTACTATAAATTTTTGTCTAACAACAGAAAATTATTTTCAAATGCTAAAGAATTAAAGTTAAGCTATAAGTATTGTAGCTTGCAAATATGAGTTATCAACAAAAGAAAACTTTAAAGTAAATTAGCATTGCTCTCTTGGATACAAAATTGATTTGTTTAGCTTTACATTAATAGCGTTTGAAAGAAAGCCATTTAATATTTTTTAATCGAGTTCTTCAAGTTGAAATTTATCTGCATTCATTAATAACAAGGTCTCTGGTTTCTACCAAAAATTTAATAAAAAGCTTTTATGTGTTTCGAAAAAAAGCCTATGTGATATTTAAATAAATATAACTAATTACACATTTGCATTCACATGAAAAGAAAGCTTCAGTGAAGTGCGCGCTTCATTTATTAAAATCAGATAGTTTTTAAGTGGATGTAATCAACAACAGTATAATGTATCATAAAATTTAAAGCAAATTGTAATTAAAATTCCAAAGTAAAAGTTAAATATAAGAAATCCCCCCCCACCCCCCCCAAAAAAAAAAAATCTGAAATGTTTCAGATTTTAAAGTACGTTCCAAGGGCGTTTGTTAAACATTTGTGTGTGACCTTTCTTTATTACAGATCATGTTCCTCGCAATTAAACCATAGATCCCAGTGCAACAAGCCAATATCGCAAAATAGTTTTAAAACGAGCATTTATCTTAGAATTTCCGATACAGAGACTCACGCGGCTAGAGATAAAAATGTTTTTTCTGCACAACGTTGCATTGCTCGCTTGAAATCCTTTGAGTTTGTTAATCAAAAATTCGTCTCAAAGTTTTAAAAATAGGAAATCGATCATAAAACAAATTTCAAATTTCAAATTTCGGAATTCACATGCTAATATCGTTGGAGGATTACGTTATCAAAAATTCGATGACTCTATGTACCTTTTTTAGACATGTGAGAAAATATACATAAATTTACGCAGGAGTTTCATTATTAATCTTCAAAGATAATGCAGCTATAACATTTTATGGAACAGTTTGAAAAGTGAAACCGACATTTATCCGTCCCGACGACAAAATGCCAAAACGAACTAATAGTCCTTCGGGATTCAAATCCCTTTGAGACTAAAAATAAATAAAGAAAATTAAAAAATAAATAAAAATATATATATATACAAAATCTGAAATGTTTCAGATTTTAAATACGTCCAACGGGGCGTTTTTAACATTTTGTGTGTTCCATTTCTTTATTAAATATCATGTTCCTCGTACTCAACCATAAGGATCCAGGGTCAACAGCAATATCGCAAAATAGTTTTAAAACGAGATATCTTTAGAATTTTGATACAGAGACTCACGCGCTGAGATTAAAAAAATGTTTTTTCTGCAAACGTTGCCATTGCTCGCTTTAAAATCCTTTGAGTTTGTTAATCAAAAATTCGTCAAGTTTTAAAAAATAGGAAATCGATCATAAAACAAATTTCAAAAATTCAAATTTGGTCTTCACATGCTCATATTCGTTGGAGGATTACTTTATTCAAACTTCGATGACTTAGTACCGTTTTGTTTTATCACAATACGAGAAATATATAATCCATTTATGCAGATTTTCTTTTAATTTCTTCAAATATAATGCCGGACTCTAACATTTTGTGGCAACAGTTGAAAGTGAACGACATTTATGAGTCCGACGCAAAAAATGCCAAAAGAAACTAATAGTCCTTCGGGATTCAAATCCCTTTGGACTAAAAAAGACGAAATGTAATATATTAATACATTTTTATATAATATGTACAAATTTCGCTCGATTTGGTTTATAAACTAGCTTACTTCCTTTTATTTCATAAATAATAAGTTCTTTTGATGAACATACAAATTAAATGCTCGTTATTTTATTATTTCAATAGATTGTGCTACTACATAGCGAATATGCATATTAATACTTAATGAATGTTATGTTACGACTGGAATGCTATGAAATATTTAAAACTCCTGGCGTAAACTTTCTAAAGCAGTTAATATTTTTAGTGTAGAACATTCAGAACATTAATATGTTATTAGTCAACCTAAGTGCTGCTAACAGAATCAGTATGGGCATAAAATTTAGCACACTTGATATACATTCTTATCGCTTTCACTGATATCAAATGCATGAAAAAAAATTATTGTCTAAACTTTGTTATGTTACACCAGCACTGCACTATTAAAAAAAATTATAAAAAAATTATTATAAACCCTATTAAAAAATTTCAAAATTTTCCATAGACAACATTATCTAATAAACATTTGGTTCATTAATATAATAAAAACTTTAGAATGATTTTCTGTGTGAAGAAGCCAGATTTTAGCGTACATTTTATTCACGTATTTACATTGCAAACACTTTAAAAAATTAAAAATGAAATTAAATTTTAAAAATATTAAATTTTAAAAACGAAACATAATGCTTAGCAAAGTTTCAAGTTATTACATGGATAGATTTCCTAGATTTTCTGAAACGAAACCCCTTTCAGATAAGTAAAATATTCCCTTTTCTATCAAACTAGAAATTAGACAAAAAGCTTAATAGAAAAAAATGTAACCACTTGTTAAAAATTCTGATATGAAAAATTACATTTATTTTTTGGCATAAAAAGGAACTATTTAGCAAACTAAAAATGAGGAATTTCGAAAACACTAAAAATATAGAAAGCAAAGAGAGAATTTGAAACCAAGTAAAAACTGCTAATTTCTAAAAGTCCCTTAATTTGAATACGATAGCCATGAAAAGTCTTACTAAATTAATACAGATGTAGAATATTGTTTACCTTATAGCTGGCTTACGTTTTCACATACTTTCAGATTTATCATTATAAGCATGCATTTTAACAAAGTGCTGAATTCTAAAATCTTTCGTGGCAATTGATTCAGTTTTAATTAAAATCTGGGTTATAGATTCCAAGATGCGAAAAAAAAGGAAGAAATGGCTAAAGTTAACAAAGGATCCATTATTCAATTACAAAATGAATAAATGAAGGAGTAAAACTTTAAATTTGAAATTATCCTGACCCAGATGTTCAGTTTTAAAAATGTTTATGCCTTATTTTATCTTTTTCTATAGATGACGTTGCCCTCGTGCCAGCTGTTTAATTCTTAAGATTTTTTAATTTGCCGTGTGTTTGTGGCAAACAGATTAAATAAATTCAAACGATAGTAATGGAGGCTAAGAAAGAATGAACTCATAAAATAATCTAACAGCTGAGATAAAGTCAAAAATCTTATTCAATTCTTTGAGTCTTTTGACTGCGGGTCAAATTCAAGGTATTTCCAGGTGGTAACTAACTATAAGTCGATGAAATTTCAAGTTAAGCTATTTAATAATTATTAATTATTGAACTTACCAACAAACACCAGACAAGAAAACATAAGTCCTGAACAAACAGAGAAAATCCTAATCAAGCTAACAAGAATGTAATTGCGGTAAATTCATTAAGATAACATTTATACTGAAAGTAGTTGGTTAAAATCAAATCTGTTTTAATTTAGCCAATTAAAATCTGAAACCACAAAATATAATTTGAATTTACTAAAAGCAACTAAAAAGCAAAAGGTAAATACAATGCAAATTAAAATAAATTACTGCCAAAATATTAAAATATACACTGATACTGCGACATAGAAGTAAGTTCGTCAGCCGAACAATAAATAAAGCGAAAGGCTTCTTCTGAAAACTGAATCGAGATCGAAGAATATTTCATCACGCGCAAGACGAAGTTACGGCCGACACCCAAACGACATTATTTTTTTTCTATGGGCACTTCTTATCTGCTTTAGTTCGCATACCTTGACCGTTTGGACAAAATTTGTAAATGACAGTAACATTTTCTTTGTGAAAGAAGCTTCAAAGGGTCTTCTTCTGTCATCGGAAAATTTCAGATTTTCATCATTGTAGGAAAATGGTGGAAAAATCACTAGCAGTATTAACACGAATAAAATGATGCTAAATTCAAATTAACAATGGCGCTTCAAATGGTGCTATTTTGCAGTACAACTGTTATACGTCTTATATTATTCGTAACAGTTATACTGCTATTTTGCATGCAGTATAACTGTTATTCTGCAGAATAGCGCCACATATTTATAAATCAACAACCGGAATAAACCACGGCATTTGTAAATATAACCACCTATTTGTAATACATACAGTTGCTATAAGCCAAAATTTGGTGTGATGCCTACATGTTGCCGTATTTGTCTTTATTGTCCTTATAATAGATTTGTACGTCTTATTCTTATAAAACCATACCAAACATGAGTGTTTTGGCGTCTGCTTGTGCCTATGCTGAACCTTAACAAAAACAAACTTATAAAATGAATATTTTTCCGATCTAAACTTTTTAATTAGTTGCGTTTCTTTAAAATTTCCCATAAGTTCGATTTATCACAATAAGTTCAATTTATCACTACGCTGATCCATCTTGTGAAACTTTTGCTAGAGTGATTCATAATGGCTGAGATAGCAGATTGTTTCAATCAATAGCACAAGCTTCATATTGCTGCATTTGCCGATAGGGGGAGTAAAATAAAAGGACACATAAATGCTTGCAAAAAAGTTTCCTGCATTCGTTTCAGATATCAATCTCACGAGAGTAAATTTTAAACTGAATCTTGGTACGTGGGTCAAAACCAAACTGACCGGCTAGTTTTTTTTGTTTTATCCATTTATGTTACTCGTATCATAAACAGACTGGCTTTCCTTCCAAATGACGTAAATAAAAAGCAAATTTTAGTTCGTGATACTTTATTCTTGTAATGTACATTAGTTATGTACATTGTTCAAACACAGTGTTAATACAGCAATAGTTTTCGTTGCTATTATTTAATAATGCCTTACTATTAATGAAATTCTTTCTTTCCCTCTTTAAGAACATGTTAAAAATTTTAAATAATTATATTTAAATTATGAGAATTCATATATAATACCCAAGCAATTTAAAATCTGAAATTAAATATACACTTAAGGAAAGAAAATGTGGAACAGCAAGAGAAAATTCGGTTAGAAGTTGGATTTATTCATTCAGTTATTTTGACTATACTGTTATGAATCGGAATATAAAAAGTAACATTAGAAAATTTATAATTTGCTGGATATTATGCAGAAGGTTTGAGTTTGCTTATATTGCGACATTCAATCTTTATCTGATGATGGGTGTAATATAAGAGTGGGTTTTACCCACATGATAGTTCGAAATTCCGTTTAGTACAGTAATCGTCATAAATAAACTGGGAATAATTAAGACACAATAACACGCCGAATAAATACTAATCAGAAGTCAAACAACAAAAATCAGCGTTATATTTTAAGCGTAAATATAACGCTGATTTTTGTTGTTTGACTTCTAAACTGGAATAATATTTGAATTAAATGCATAATAAATGTAAATGTAAAACATAACAAATTTAAATTTGACAAAAAAGCATGCAATATGTCCTTATCTACATATATGTAGTATATTATTTTTGTGCAAATTTTATTCCTTTCAGTGTATTGTTTATAAGTATAAAATGCTTATATCTTATGTTTTAATATATAACATACGCAAGAAATTTCTTCGTGTACATTAAATGTTATTATTTTAGTTTTATTGTTTGTTTTTACTATTTAATAAAGTATTGAGTGATTTTCAGCTTTTGAGTTACAGAACATGTGACGATTTCTGATTACAGGTTACGGAGGACGGGTACGCTGGTGTCTAATATAGGTAAACAGGCGTATGCCACACGCCCTCCCCTATCTAGCAGCAACAACTCCCTGGAGCCCCAAGAGGATGCGTCGGGAGTTAAGTTTATGAGACATGAAAAAGTGTGTAAATGGCCAAACAACGGCGCTCGCTTTTATTTTACAGATTGAAGAGGACTTCGACATGTCTGACAGAAATGGCAAGGGAACAAAGGATGTTGCCGAAATTATAAAAGGCAAGAGCAAGAATTAAAACATGCAAAGAAATATAAGTAAGGCATGTATTGAGCTAAGCGGCTAGGATAATGACCTAAATTGGCATGTGTGCACAATATGTGGTTCTGTGCTAGGAGTTCGTAGGACATATATTACACAAGCGTTTGCACATTTCTGATTTCTGAGTACATGAAGAGTATTTAAATTTCTACTGTACTAGAAGTTAACAAACGGATTCCCCCCCCCACTAATCAATATTCTTAGCTCCAGTCAGTGGCTGGTTGCGGAAGATTCGTAGAACACTGGTAGTTCGGACAGTGCTTGATCCTTGTGAAAGGACTGCTGTCTGGGCATTTTTATGATTTTCCTCGTGTATAAATTGAATATAAGCCAATTTTCCTTAGAAAGTTCTTTAGGAAGGCATTCCGTCCGTTAAGGAGATAGCCTTCACGTGTTTCGCCACAACTGATTAAATAAAATTGCATAACCTATTTATGTTTTACTAAGTTTAAACTAAGATGGAGTTTAGCCATATTATTTTAGTCAGTTTTGAAAATGGGATTGTTACAGCTAAGCAATTACTAGCGGAATAAACAAAGAATAATACTTGCACCTTTTATCTAATGGTATATGTTGACATGTTAATGAACTAAATAAACTTATTGAACTAACATATTTAGTTGCTTCTTACTTGTGTTAAAAATTACTTCTTTGGCATTCTTCAATCCAATTAATAAATAAAATGTTATTAATTTGAACACATATCATTCTATGAAAAAATTTCATTTAAAACACATTTCATGATTATTCTTTAAATTATATTTGCTTTCTGAAAAGTGAGATTACGCGAAGTGTATAGATATAATTATAACGGCAGGGAGAATCTTGTACATTACAGATAATTCGCATATGCATGATAGATAAGACTTCTTACCGTTCACATTCCTTAAAAATAAAAGAAAAACGAAGAGAAACTGAAAAAGCAGGATATAAATTAAGTATTTAATATTCTTTCAGCTATATGTTACTTTTCTTTCTAGATTTTACATGTTTTAATCTTTATATCTTCTCTTAAGTAACTAATTCACTCCGTCTACTTCTGTGTAATATCATTTGACTAGGAAACTCAAAATTTCCTTTAAAAGTATTACGTTTAACTGCAACTACAAGCTATCTGAGTGCTAAGAAATATGGATAACCGGATTGCTGCTCTGCATGACAGTTATGTACTTAAAATAGTAAAAGTTATCACGCTTTCTTTCTATTTTCATTATTTGTATTTTACTTTTTAAAAATTTAAAGTTAACAAATAAGCTATTTTTTTTTATAAAGCTACAACTTAAAAGATGAAATGATTATTACTTACATAAATAAATAAACTACCGAAATACTGACTCGATGTTTTTCAATTAATACAAAGAAATTAAGTTTCATACACTTAGATACTATCCCCATCATCTTATATTTTTATATATTTTTATTAAACTAAAACTAAACAAAAATTACTATTTTCTATCTAAGTAAAAGGAATAATATAATTTATTTATATTTAACCAAAGTTAAAATGAGATTTTATTTTTTAGTTATGTAAATTTAAAAAATGGATAAAATTATTAATGTAATACATATTATTATATTTTCACTTTTACAATTTGCAATTAGTTTAGCGCTTTAAAGAAAATAATCGAAAAATGTCATTAAAGATCCTTGAGACGCTTCTAACGTACAAATGGTCATTCTATTTTAATCTATTTTACATAATTTAATAATTTTTATCTTTTAGATTATTTAAGCAACATAAGTATTAAAAATGTATAAATGAGCTAAGTTTTTTTCTGATTAAAAAAATAAGAAGTGATATGCATAAATGGAGCTGAATAGCAAATAAACTCGAATGACCAATAAACGGCATGGTTAATAACTTTATGTTTTTTTAATAGGACCCGAAATGTCAAAGATTGCATTTAATATTGCATTAAAAATGAAAATTAATATTAATATGAATTGACATATTATTATAAATAAGCAGCAGCTATTTAATTGTCAAGATATGATGAGATTTTACATCATAAATGCATTGAAAATGAGATGAAAATAAGTCAAGAATAATAAATAAATACTTGCGTAGTACCGTTACGTCTTCCAGCTTTTCTCGTTCTGTCAAACAAAAAACAACTTTTGAAAAACTTCTAACATAACAAGTCTTGCTGAATGGGCAGGAGAAATGTTTCTAATGTTTGGCAGTCTGTCAAGAGCCATAATAACCCATTTCTCTAATGCAGCTTGATACTTACTTCCCCGGAAAGTGAATGACGTACGTTTGAGAGAAATTCTATTGCCTTCCGAAATTCCGCGCAAGATAGTCCGATTGCTTTGTTTTGCCACGGTTTTACAGCGGAAGTCTAAAGCAACTGCTTAATGCAGACATATCTCGTTAGAATGCTGTTTACTCAGAGTATACATGTATTCTGATAACGTGGCTAACTGCACATGTGTAGCAAAAAAAAAAAAAAAAAAAAAAGTTTACACTGTAATTTCAATACAACAGTCATTTCCATTTTCTTCGGGTGGATTGGGTAAAATATAGGGCGTGTGCTGTATTCCAAACCGCAGTACTAGTTCTCTCTTGCCTATTTTCACTTTCACTACTAGTTTTCCAACTTTCGAATAATGCCATATTTTTTTTAATTTTAATTTCAATAATAATAATAACAGTTATTTGTGGTTCTTCAAGAAGAAATGAAGTTAGATTGTCGGTTTAAATGATGTCATATTTTATTTTTTGAGAAATGGAAAAGAATGACGCCGCACTAAAATCAAAAGCAGTATTTTTAGCCCTTAATAAGAAAGCACAATTTGTGTGAATGGTTTTCCTTTCAAACTCAGTTATGCAGTAATTACAATGTGTGGCGACATTAATTCAGTATTGGTACCAGACACTAACCAGACATTAACCAGATGATTGTTCTAGGTATTCAATAACAGGTCATACGAGAATTCCTTTTATTCCTAATTACAAGAAGCGACTGCTTTCTTGAAGAGCTTCTGTCGTATTATGCTGAATGAATGTAAATAAAAAACTAATTTTAGCTATTTTTTAAATGTGTCGATGAATCTGCGTTTGATCTTTGATTGGAAAACTGAGATTCGGTAGTGCTTTTCTGTCATCTACATAAAAAACTGTAATAAACCGAAATATTTTATCCTGGTGGCATGATAATGTTTAATATCCTCAGTCTTGATGTATCCTCAGTGTATGATGGTATCTGAATAAACATTTCGTAATTTTCCCGGCTGAGCACTCTAATCTTGTTCGCATCTTTATACTATCAATGCATAAAAAATTGGTAATTTCGTAATGTTTTATCTACATTCAAATATATAAAGAGACAAAAACCTTACGGATGTAAACATATAAATAGCAAAGCAACGGTCTTGTATTTGCCGTAGATTTAGTGAATAACTCAATCGATTTCGAGGGAAAACAGGTACAGGTCCCCTCTTCGTCAGGAGCAAAGAAACCCGCATGACTGGAAAATGTGCATGCGTTGCTGTGTTGTTATTGACCTGTTGTGTTGTTGTTTTGTGGATGTGCTGTTGTTGATCTAAGATTAGAACACAAATGCATTATTATCATTATTTACAGTTTAGAGCGTTTAATTACGAGTGCCACTTATTTGTACCATTTAAATCGATACATAGAAAACTGACATTTCTTTTCCGAATTATTAATTCTTCAGAATATAAAAGAATATATTAATTTTCTACTCTTTCTATTCATCCTTATTTTAATCGGACTTAAATGTGGAATTCTGTGGTAAGGTCGAATTTCAGTTACATTCTCCGCCTGTATATATAGAGTGCTTTTAGTTCTCCCTTTTTTAGCAAAGCTACTCTTATTTTTCACTTCTTTGATCCACTGTCGTATATGCTTCTTTCATTATATGCTTCTTGCCTCTACTTATGCAAATTTCCAAGATTTTGTTCACATGTTATACATTTGTTATGCAAAGCTATTCTTCACTTCCAGACGTTTCCCTTTTGCAGAAGCAGACGCTTTAACCAGAATACTTATTACGAGTTTTCTTTTGTTTGCTCAGTTCAATATTTCTAACCTGATGCATCTAACGTATTTACGATTTATGATGTTTGCGACAACGTTGAATTCCAGTTTAAAGTTTCTCAATATAAGTAAAATGCAATAGGGTATACAATGCTATGTTATTATGAGATGATGTCATATTGATTGATAATGTCGCCTTACAGAAGACCGATTAATGGTCACTCTAATAAATTCAGTTTAAATACCGGTCATTGTCAGAAATTATTGCGTTACTTTACTTAATTCCTCAAGAATTAGTAATTTTTTATGTTATTATGATTTAATTTAGTATCTTATTATACTATAAGAAAATCGCTGTATACTGCAAGATCATTTCTATAGTTTGTGACAAGTTTCATGGCATCCATTACAAAAGTAATGTTTACAGTTTTTATGTACCATAATTATTCCATTATTATTAGGTGACTCATATGCGAAGCGATCTTAAATTTTGGAAAAAAAAAATGTTTGACTAGAAAAATAATAACTTGTATACAATATTAGTGCCTATACGTGACGGTTCACATTAAGTTTAAGATTTTGAATTATTACAACTTTTATTAAAGCAGCTGAAAGACTGCGTCAGATTATGATGCAAGAGCTAAGAGTTTCATCAGTTTATGATAGCTACGAGTTATTCACCAACTCCCTCATGAGAAAGCAATTTCAACAGACAAGAACTCATTTCAGTCAATTTTTTTGATAAACCCAGAGGAATTTTATAATTGGTTGTTCTCTCACTGTGAAATTTTTTTCATTGGCTGGGATGTTTAATATATGCTTAACTGTACTAATTTAAATTTGACTACATTAGTCATGCTCTTAAAAGACTCATATTATTAACATAGCAACTCAGACAAATCTCAAATCCAAATCAAGATACTCTATCTCAAAAAGTAGTTAATGGATAAATGTACTCGTTTTGACGAAGATTTGTTTTTAAACTTGTTACAGTTTCTGTTGTTTTACCTTTCTTTAGAACTACTTACTTAAGCACTATATATAACTCACCGCAGAATTCACTTACTGAAAATATTCTTTCTGAGTTACTTCCAGAAGTCATACCAATCATTTTAGCTGACGATCTTAATGCTAAGCACTCTGACTGGGGAGTACTGACGAACTAACAATAATGGAAAGATCCTTCGTGAGTTTATTGTTAATCATCCTGTTGCTACTCATGTGCCAGCCGAATGTATTTTTCAAACACACAATCACCAGTGTGCTGATATTCTTGACTTACTTCTTACTACTCTTACAATCAGCATGGGACTGAAAATAAAGCATGAGCTTACTTCTTATAATATTCCTATTTGATTACAGTAGGTACCACTAAGTTTAAAGAAAATACTACTACTGAAATTATAGACTGGAGACTTTTTTATATTTTACTGCATAAGAATCCTCCAAATATTAATAGATTAAAAATTCGTAAAGAAATTGACCTTGCAATTGATAATCTTACTAACAGCATTCACTCTACTCTAGAAGAAGCTTCACGCATCGTGCCGCAAGACCAGGTTGCTGATAGATTGCCTTTTCACATTAGAGATATTATTAGGTAACATAATAAACTTAGAAAATTATGGGATACTACGTGGGATCCGAATCTTAAAAGAGAACTCAAGAGACAAATTAAAGAAAAAAATTAATGTATATAGATCTAATAAAAAATGGAAAAACCAAAATTCTGAGTCGTGATACCACTAGTAATTCCTTCTTGTCGTTTATTAATAAATGTAAAAGAAGCTATACATGTAATAGACCCTATTACAGAAAATAAAGGCTCTTCAGCTCTTTGCGAACCAATTTGGAAACCAATTTACTCTTTACTTGATGTATTTTTACGTGAAGTGCCTATAGAACACCATTATTGAGCCGAGCATATTGCGAAATTGACAATATCGCGACGTAACGTTACCAATATCTCGGGGCTCGTTCAGAGGCTAGCTTTGCTGAACGACGGTCACACCTTAGCTGTCCGTAAGAATTGTTTTTGCTTGTTCTCGTTATGGCCAGAAAACCACCAGATCAGTGTACTCTTCCATGACATACACGAACCGATGAATTTATGGACGATAATACTAGTTCTGAAACAATGCCTTACTCCGACTTTGCAAAAGTATTTCAACGGTAAACTTAGAGAACAAAATTTTCGAAGTAGCTAAATAGATGAAAACTACCCTTGCTTTCGATAAATCTCCATCGGAAACTCTTAATCAACACCAGCTTAAACTCAAAGAATGACAATTTCACCCTAATCTTATGCAAGATATTAAGAAATGCAAGAAGCTGGAGATAGGAAGAATCTTGTTAAAAACTCCGATGAAAAAACGAATGTATCTCCCAGATTGCGCAGCACGAAATAAAGTTCAAATATGGTTAAAATTCCTAAATAATAGACATGTACAACTTCCTCCTGATGAAGGCGAATCGGAAGAAATTCAGAATACACTATAAAAGTTGAAGTGAAAATTCCTTCTACCGTTTTCGCTGAAGACAGTATTGACTGAAGACATCAATGCCTTACTTACTAAAATCTACAGTAGTTCATATGAAGCATACATGAAACAAAAATCCATTATCGTTTATGTTAAGAATGTTTCTGACTATCATAATACTGTTAAAAATCTTTAAGAAAGAGGAATTTCCTTCCTTTCCTATCAACTAAACTCCGAAAGATACGTCAGAGCTGGCATTAAAAATCTCCACATCTCAATTTCCGACGAAGCAATTTTTAAAGACTTACCAAGAAGAAGTTTTCCTATTATAAAAGTTAGTCGGTTTAGGAAATCAAGCAGAACTAACTACTAAAAAGTCCCTTCTCCCTTCACTTCATAGAAATTCATAGAAATGCTGCAGTAAATTTTTTTTTTTATCTAAGTCACATGTTTTCATCCGAACTGAGGAAAATATACCCCTAAGGAGCGACCAACTCAGTGTTATAGATGCCAGGAATGCAAGCGCACGAAACAACATAGAATTGTTCTTTGCCCTCAGAAAAACCCGAAGAAAAACATACGTGCTATTTTGTGGTGATAATCACATAAGTAGCTACCGTAGATATGCAAAAATAGCAAAAGAACTTGCAATATTCAAGCAAGAAATCCGCAACAATAACAAAGCATGTTTTTTATTAAAAATCTGAAGATCTAAACCAAGCAAAAAGTGTGTTTTCTTATGCAGAAAAATTGAAAAATAAAAAGAAATCTACTCCCGATCTCTTAAAACATTTGATTTGCTCCAGGGCAAGAACATCCTACATTTCGTTGAAAGCAATCGCGACATCTATCCAAAATATAAGGAATGCTAAAACTTATCCCCAAGGCTTTAAAGCAATACAGAATTGCATAA